TCAACTCTAACATTCTGTAGCTCAATTCAGCTGTCTGATTTTGAGTTAGGTTAAAATTAAGTGCATAAGCTAACTCAATAAATAACCTAAGACAAGTCATCTAATGAGACTTAGAGAGTTGATTATTCAGGCAGCCGTGCCTTTCCACAATTATTTGATAATACAAATTCTACTGAATATACAATCTACTGTAAGTCTCCACATATGAAACTTAGAGTTAAAAAATTGTGTGGCCTTTCAGTTTTACATATTTTCATGTAATTATTATATCGACTCTGAGGAAAATGATGTATGAGTTCATTACACAGTGTTTTGTCCAAAATCATACATGCAAGGTGCCAGAATGGTCAGGTCAGAAACTCTTAAACCAGTGATCTTCTCACTCTAATAGACATCATTACTCTGACTCCCAAATTATTATACCTACCCTTTAGCATTAGCTATAATTGCATCCTCATCTTGGAAGAAAATGCTTTTTTGTCAGATTTCCCTGGGAAAAGGACCAATGGAATTTTAAAATATAACTACTTTTTTCTTTCATAGGTATCAAAAATCTATTTTACTGATTATCATAGAAGTTATATACATCTAAAATAAACTAATCACAATAGTGATTAGTTTAAATAATTAATACATCCCATTAGCTATTATAATGAAAAGTCAGTTTAAGGTACACTGAGACAAAGAAATATGGCCCAAATGAAAGAACAGATCAAAACTCCAAAAAAAAAAAAAAAAAGAACTAAGAGATGAAGAGATAGCCAACCTATCAGATGCAGAGTTCAAAACACTGGTAATCAGGATGCTCACAGAAATGATTGAGTTTGGTTGCAAAATGGAGGAAGAAATGAAGGCTATACAAAGTGAAATAAAGGAAAATATACAGGGAACCAACAATGAAGGGAAGGAAACCAGGATTCAAATCAATGATTTGGAACGAAAAAAAAGAAACAAATATCCAACCAGGACAGAATGAAGATATAAGAATTCAAAAAAATGAGCAGAGGCTTAGGAACCTCTGGGAAAACTTTAAACATTCCAATATCCAAATCATAGGGGTGCCAGAAGGAGAAGAACAATAGCAAGAAATTGCAAACTTATTTCAACAAATAATGAAGGAAAACTTTCCCAGTCTAGTGAAGGAAATAGATTTCCAGGAATCCCAGACAGTCCCAAAGAAGTTGGACCCAAAGAGGGACACACCAAGGCACATCATGATTAAGTTACCCAAGATTAAAGATAAAGAGAGAATCTTAAAAGCAGCAAGAGAAAAGGAGACAGTTACCTACAAAGGAGTGCCCATAAGACTATCAGTTGATTTCTCAAAAGAAACCTTGCAGGCAAGAAGTGACTGGAAAGAAGTATTTAAAGTCATGAAAGGCAAGGACCTACATCCAACATTACTCTATCCAGCAAAGCTATCATTTAGAATGGAAGAGCAGATAAAGTGCTTCCCAGGCAAGATCAAGTTAAAGAAGTTCATCATCACCAAGCCTTTAATTATATGAAATGTTAAAGGGACTTATCTAAGAAATAGAAAATAAAAAACTATGAACAGTAAAATAACAACAAACTCACTATCAACAACTGAACCTAAAAAGCAAAAACAAAAACTAAGCAAACAACTAGAACAGGAACAAAATCACAGAAATGGAGATCACATGGAGGGTTTTCAGTGGGGAGGGGAAGGGGAAGAATGGTGGGTAAGATATGGGAATAAGAAGCATAATTGGTAGGCATAAAATAGATGGGTAGAGTAAAGAATGGTGTAGGAAACAGAGAAGTCAAAGAACTTATATGTACAACCCATGGACATGAACTAAGGGGGTGGGGAATGCTGGAGGGATGGGAGATGCGGGATGGAGGCAAGATAAAGGGGGAAAAATTGGGAAAATGTAATAGTATAATCAATAAAATATACTTAAAAATAAATAAATATGATCGAACTACAAAAAAAAAGATGTGATCAACACAAAAACATCAGTTAAAAATTAAGTTTATTGGGGTAATATTGGTTAATAACATATATAACTTTCAAGTGTACAATTTTATAATAAATCATCTGTACTTTCCACTGTGTGCTCACCATCCAAAATCTAGTCTTCTGTCACCATATACTTGATTCATATCTTTAACTTCTTCATCCTCCCCCACCCCCACTCCCCTCTGGTAGCCATCACACTGCTGTGTCTATGAATGTTTTGTTTGTTCATTTGTTGCTTTCTGTTTTACATACCACATATGAGTGAAATCATATAGTAGTTCTCTATTTCCATCTGACTTCACTTAGCATGATATTCTCAAGATCCATCCATGTTGTTGCCAAATGCACTGTTTCATCTTTTCTTATGGTGAATAGTATTCCATTGTATGTGTATGTATATATACACACCATTCCTTTTTATCCAGTCATCCCTCAGTGAGTAATTAAGTTGTTTTCATGTCTTGGCTACCATGAATAATGCTACAATGGACACAGGGTTACATATATTTTATGACAAGTATATTCTAATTTTTTGGTTAGATATCCAGAAGAGGGATTGCCGGGATCATAAGACAGCTCTATTCTGAATTTTTTGAGGAACTTCCATACTGTTTTCCATAGAGGCTGCGACAATTTATACTCCCATCAGCAGTGTATAAGGATTGCCTTTTCTCCATATCCTCTCCAACATTTGTTATTTCCTGTGTTACTGATAACAGTCATTCTAACAGGTGTGAGGTTGTATATCATTGTGATTTTGATTTGCAGTGTCCTTACAGCTAGCGAAGTTGAACATCTTTTCAGGTATCTGTTGGCCATCTGCATGCCTTCTTGGGAAAAGTGTCTGTTCAGGTCCTTTGCCCATTTTTAATTGGACTGTTAATCGCTGCTGTTGACTTATATAAGTTTTTTTAAAATACATTTTGGATATTAGCCCCTTATCAGAGATAGCATTTGCACCTATCTTCTCCCATTGGGTTGGCTGCTTTTTTGTTTTGTTGATAGTTCCTTTTGCTATGCAGAAACTTTTTAGTTTGATGTAGGCCCATTCATGTATTTTTGCTTTTACTTCCCTCGCCTTTGGAGTCAAGTTCACAAAAATCCCTCTGAGACCAAGGTCCATAAGTTTAGCACCTATGTTTTCTTTGTATTTTATTGTTTTAGATCTTATATTCAAGTCTTTAATCCATTTTGAATTAATTTTTGTGTAGTGTCAGACAGCAGTGTCATTTCATCCTTATGCATGTGGCTTTCCGATTTTCCCAGCACCACTTGTTGGAGAGGCATGCCTTTCTCTACTGTGTTTTTAGACCTTCTGTTGAAAATTACTTGCCCACATATGTGTGGGTTTATTTCTGGTCTCTCAATTCTGTTCCATTGGTCTGTATGTCTATTTTTCTGCCAATACCATATTATTTTGAACATTTTAACTTTGTACTATAACTTAAAATCAGGGGTGTGATACCTCTGGCTTTTCTCATTTTTTTCAGGATTGCTTTGACTACTTGGGGGATTTTGAAGTGGTCCACATAAATTTGAGAAATCTTTATTTCTTTGAAAAACACCATCGGGATTTTTACAGGGATTCCATTAAATGTGTATATTGCTTTAGGTAATATGGCCATTTTAACTATGTTAATTCTTTCAGTTCATGAACACATTTTCCACTTCTTTGTGTTTTCTTCAATTTCCTTCAACAACGTCTTGTAGTTTTCAGTATATAAGTCCTTCACTTTGTTAAGTTTACAGCTAGGTATTTTTTATCCTCTTTGTTGCAATCATAAATGGGATTGTCTTCTTTATTTCTTTTTCTGATATTTCATTGTTAGTACATGAGGTCTGTGCAAAAAGTATCCAGCCATGTAATATGAAAAATACAGACATTTATTGAAAAAGTTATAAGAAACATTGTACGCAGGACAATAACACCTCTGACTCCTTCAAAGTAGGCACCTCGGGACCTCACACAGTTCTCCAATTGCCACCAGCTGCTCCAATGTATTTTCCTGAATCTCATGAATGGTCTGAAATCTCTTCCCTTTCAAAGGTGATTTTAGTTTGGGGAAAAGCCAGATATTGCAGGGTTCCAAATCTTGGCTGTAGGGGAGGAGTGTCACCTGGGTGGTTTGATGTTTTGCCAAAAAACTCTACATTAGACGTGATGCATGAAGGTGCCAGTCACCAGTTGCCTACAGCTGCAGCCTTCTGAATCATCTGAATAGTTTCCATGGAGAAATGTTCAAGCTTCATGCAAAATTTGGTGCAGCTTCGTTGCTCTACTAACTCATTTTGAATGTGATAGCCACTCACAGTGCACAGTGAGTGCACAGTGCTCACACAATGGGGTCTACTGCTCCCACTGACTAGTACAGTGAAGTTGTTATTGTTTACACATGTGCATTCCAGTCCACTCTCCTTGGCTGCCAGGTTACATCGATGTCGTGCTAACCGTTCTCCTTACATTAACAATGGCTGGACTTTTTCTGGACAGACCTCATACAGGAAAGCAATGGATTTTTGTACATTGATTTTGTATCCTGCAACTTTATAGTATTTGTCTGCCATTTAGAAGACTCTTTTGGTGGAGTCTTTAGGGTTTTTGATATATAGAGCCATGTCATCTGCAAACAGTGATAGTTTTACTTCTTCATTTGTTATTTGAATACTTATGTCTTTCCTTTTGACTGCTGTGGCTAGGACTTCCAGTACTGTGTTGAATAACAGTGGTTCATTAGAGGAAAAGCTTTCAGTTTTCAATTGCTGAGTATATATTAGCTGAGGGTTTGTCATATCTGGCCTTTATTATGTTGAGGTACTTTCCTTCTATACCCATTTTATTGAGGATCAACAGTTATTAAATGTGATTTTTTCATCCAATCTGATGAAAGAAGACTTCAATTTAGAATAGCAAATTTATTAACTCAAGACCCAAAGAAGGAATATTTTCTTCTATAATGTTTAGTAACATTAAATGGAGAATAATGTTACAGAGAATAAGATGGGCATTTGTCATAGGTTAAATGGCAAGCTAGAAAAGATCCAACATTTTATTTTTAGCTACTAAATGTTTCTCAAAGGTCGCACAAGGTAGTGATCTAACCATTAAAGACAAAGTAAAATACACAATCTCATCCTCTCTTAAAGTCTGAAAGGAACTTTGAAACCATCTTGTTCAATACCTTCATTTCTTATTAATTGATATAATGGATTTGAGATTCTACCTGCTATAAGTATGTCTTCTTGAGAGAATTCATCTTTCCATGAAATGCCCTGTACTTTATAAGAAATCATGATCACTTTTATTCTTTATATGTTATATGCTATGGTATGACAAGTACATTTTGAAAACTTCTGTATTTCTAAAATCCAAACATGCATCTGCTATATGCACATTCAAGTACAGTACCTGTGGCTTGGGCAGTTTCCCTCAATCAGTCTTCCATTTATAAAAGACATGAATGAGTAAATCTTGGAAAAGGGATGACGTCTTTGATATTGTCAATTCCCAAGATACACTGCAGATAGCGTTCAAATCCCATCCCAAAACCTCCATGTGGCACAGATCCAAATCGACGGAGGTCCAGATACCTGATTTTGAAAAAGAGAGAATCATCACCTATAAATGCTGTTCAGGGTCAGCTTTATATTAGAATTTATATATATATATATATTTTTGAATATTTTATTTATTTATTTTTAGAGAGGGAAGGGAGGGAGATAGAGAGATAGATAGAGAGAGAGAGAGAGAGAGAGAGAGAGAGAGAGAGAAACATCAATGTGCGATTGCTGGAGGTTATGTATGGCCTGCAACCCAGGAATGTACCCTGGCTGGGAATCGAACCTGGGACACTTTGGTTCCCAGCCCACTAGAATTTATATTTTAAAGTGTTTTGTAATCATTTGTGGTCATTGACATTATTGTGGTAGACCAGTCTTTTGCTCCACAGATGGATGAAGGACACAGAGAAGTTCAAGTGATCTGTTTAATGTTACCCTGGCAGCAGCAAACCTTGTCATGTATTCATGAACTTTGGTTACATGATCCTTTTTCTTTTATTTATTTAATTATATACAGAAAACTTGCTTCAGGAAGCTACTAATTTTCTTCAAAATATATTCCTTTCCTATTTCTTAGTATATTAATAATGCTCTCATTTTCCTTACCAAAATCATAGTTTGATACACAGAAGAGACTGAAGAGTTTTGTCTGATAAATTATAAAATGATATATAGATTAGATTATAAGCTACATCAAGGGCAGGAGCTACGTTTTATTCAACCTTTTATCTCCAGTGCCTGCTCTGGAGTAGATGCTTACTGTATGAAGATTTATTGTTTGAAGGTACAAAAATACACTCTTGAGTGCTGGAGTGAGGAGAAATTCTCAGTTCTCTGCTTTAAGCCTACGGAAGATGTCCAGAGCCGTTTTCCTGGAAGGCTAGACAGCCTCTGAAGCCCATCCATGGACGTTCTATTCCCACTTAAGGTGGCTAGAAATGCACAGAAAATGAAACAGCCAAGATTCAAACTCAGATGTCAACACACCAGCCTGAGAGAAAATTATTTCGGGAAAGAAGAGGGGGAAGAATATTCTGTAAACATTTTTATGTCATTTGGTGGGAGAATTCTTGGGTTATATAATGTTAATTAAAACAAATGTATAGCTTCTTGAATGATTTATAAAATCATTCTGAAGTTCCAGAATCAAACTTCAGCGCCATGGCTGGGAGTCATTTGACAACTCTAGGGTAAAGACTATCACCTGTCTCCCACTGTTAACAGTAATGGATACATGTATTAGTATTTGATATGGTTGAGATGCAGTACTTATCTTTCTAAAATAAAAAATGAACTGCAACTAGGTGAGTTATAATCAAGTGACAGATCTATAAACAGGAGTATCTAGTATAAAGCTTAAGATTAATAAGAACTGTCAGGAAAAATGGATGGAACACAGTCTTCAATAATTGAAATGTTTGGTAGCTGAATTAACTCAAAGTTTGTAAGGCATGGGGGCAGGGTATACATTGATTTAATGAGAAAGTGAGATAAAGGGCATATCAAACCACCTGCCACAAACACCTGCAGGATGTGAGCTGGCGGCTAGAAGTATAGCAACAGCTTAGGTGGTTCTGTATTTCTCATACATTGATGTCAAAACACTGGTATAAATGTCTGAAAGCTAAATTTGGCATTTTTCTTCCCTTTGCTTTTATAGATGGAAAAATCCAATTCTAAGAAACAATATATATTTGATGGATTTTTGTTACATTTATTCTAGGGTAGCCAGATTTTAGAAGAGTTGGTACCAAATTTGTGGAACTAGTTACAAATTTTATTTGCATATGGCATGTAGAAATAGGAAGTGAGTAGATTCCTAGACACCTGGGGTGGCCACTCACAGTGGGGGAAACACCAGCAGAGGTCACAGACATGAAGATTTTTAAAACTCCTTCTACTTTGAAATATTATGATAACCATTTAAAAGGGCCAAGGTTCAAATAATACACATTTATGTTTGGAGATCTTAACAGTTTGAAAACTTTAGCTGGGAAAAGAATAGTACTGAAATGATTAATAAAGACCAGAAAAGGCCTAAACTTATTTAACCAATAATTAAAATGTGCATTTAGCTAGTTTTTACACACTATGGACATTATCTTCTAGACAGAAGCTGACATGAAATGCATAAGCTTGAACAATCAGGCTCATCTACCTAAGAGCAAAATTCAGAACAAAGGAAGGAAAGGGGAGGCGGGTGGAGAACTAGCATTTACGAGCTTCTACTCTATATACGTACTTAGCCTATATTGTTTCTTTTCATCCTTACAATAACCTTGTGAAGTAGATATGATCATTCCATTTTTCAGCCAAGAAAACCAAAACTCAAGAGAGATTAAACATGCCTAAAATCATTACTGGTTAAACAAGAAAACAAAGATATTCAAGGCCCAATACCTGAACCCAATTTTAGGCTTTCTGCACTTCTGAAATCTAGTTCCTTTATTACCAAAAAGTGAGTGTGTAATTTGACCCTTCCTTCACTTGAGGGCAGGTGAAGAATTAATAATATTGTTGATATTATTATGCCAAGATCCCACAGGAGTGCTATAACCCAAATATAAATTAAAATTTGCATATATTGAAAAGTACTGAAAATTATTTGAAGAAAGGGTCTGAGGAAAGAAAACCAGCATGACTTTGGAGAAGTAAATGTATGAATGCAGACAGGTGATGCTCTCGGGGCAGCTTAGATTTCTACAGTTGGTGAAGATCACTTAGTTCAAGCCCCTAATTTCACACATGGAGAAAATGAAGCATAATAGTTAGGAACAAAGTCCCAGCTCTGTCTTCTAACTGTGTGTTCTTAGTTAAGTTAGTTAACATCTCTAGACCTCAGGTCTGCACAGGCAATACAAAGGGAATAAGAATAGTACCTAACTCACAGGGTATTATGCTGATTACATGAGATAGTATACATCAAAATTTTAATAGTTACCTAGAACACAATAAGTAATAAACAAATAGCAGCCATTATTACTATTTTTCAAGGACTCAGAAGGAATAAACAATCTTGTGAGAATTAGTTCATTGGTTTTAACACTCTTTCATAGTGCCTTGGGATAAAAAGCAAAACTGTATAATGCTCAGACCAACAGCTAGAATAACAATCATCAGAGGCCTCATTCTTACCATTGGTAGGCTTCCGTCAGTCCTGAGCTGTAAAAGGAATACAAAAAAAATTCTCTCAGAGAATGTCAGTAAGATAAATAAATATACTAACCACCAAACATTTGTTCTGGGTTGTATGGTTGTTACAGAGAAGTACACACCAAAGGTTATGCTCTCAAATCCCATGCAATTTAGTTGAGGAGATGAATCTTTACTATATGGTAAGAAAGGTTAGTTAAACGATAGTCCCAGGTATTACCAAGTAAGTGGTATAGTCGATAAATGCTACAGAAGGAAAGTATGGTCCAGGGACCAGGAGGAGGAGTTCATTTCACAGGTACATATTGTTCTGTGACAGAAGGAAAGCACTGCTCCTGCTACCTGAGGTTGCTTCAAGGCACACACAAACGAGGGGCAGAGACACACCTGACACTCTGTACATTAAACTGGTAATACGGATTCCGAAGCTACCTTCCTAGTATTAGTATAATTGCCAATTGATTTTTCCCAATTAAGTGTTAAAGTCTTAAGCTCTTAGTACTCATTAAAAGTAATTTTAGTTCTTTAAAAAAGTGTTTGAGATCACAGTGTGTCTGAAAGGATCAGGATGATGAAAAACTCAAATATATAAAAATACAGAACGTGTAAACAGAAGTCACAGGCAGCTCTGTGAGAGAGGAAAACATATCCATTTCATTAGGAAAGATACATTTGGATATTATCAGATATTAGGAAAACATTTAATGTCATGAGGCAAGTTTCCTGAAGGAAGGAAGCAAGCAAAGAAAACAGACCAATTAATCTTTCAACAGATGAGGTTTCTTGCCATGTGTGATTTTTATTGTGCTTAAAAAAGACCCAGAGAATCTTTAAATTCTTTCCATCTAAAGAGTTTGACCTTTACTTCAATTCTGTGATTTTCCCAGGACATTCTAACATTATTGTTATAGTAAGGAGTTGGTACTCTGATTTTTAAAAAAAAAAAAAAAAAAAAAAAAAAGAGTCCTCCCGGAACATATTTATCCCCTTTCTTCTGGACCCTAACCAAATAGAGCAGTTCAAATAATTAAGATTACAAAACCAAGTTACCCAACAGATTTATAGGTTTGGACCTTGGAAAACATCAACTTTTAAAGCATTTCTCCCTTAGGAAAAGAAGGCCTTTACAAATGGCTAATTCAGCAGGATATTTTCAAACGTTTTTATGGCTTTTCCAGGTTACTATGAAACCCAGTATTATCTGGAGAAAAGGATTACGCCTTCAACATGGGAGAGCCTTTTTTTAAAAGTCCGGCACAGAAAAAGTGGAAGACGCGGAAAGCGGGGGTTTATAGCCTTGGTTGGTGTAGGAAGTCACTGCGGTGAGCTGGCAGGCCATCATGTATAGGAGTGGTAGTTCAATTAGAAACATGATGCCCTGCTGCTCTTCTCTAGAACACTTTCTGCGTGTTTACGGATTCATTTCCCAGGTCTCAAACAGCAAGTTAAAATAAGTTATTCGAATAGCTAAATTAAGACCCTTACACAATGTAGAAAACCCGAGGAAGGGAAAACTGCTTCTCCTAAATATGAGCTTAGCAGATATTTTTAGTATCTTTCTCTTTCCATCTTTATCCTTTCTCTGGCTCAGAATCTATTTTTCTTTATGTCCCTATAAGAGTCATAATTTAGAGTAAATAAAAAAGAACAGAGAGAAGAGAAAAATTAAAATGAAGGACAAGCTTTAAAGGAAAATCTCCCTTCCCCTTATATCATTAACTTTTTAAAAAACCATTTTCATAGGAAGAGACACATACAAATACTGGGCAACTTTTACTTTGGCCTTGTTTCACATAAGAGTTTCATTCTTTAAGAAAGGGAAGCTGAGAAAAGTCGAGTAACAACTTGGTCAAGATCACTCAGAATCTGAGTTTCAGCTGTTGAGGCTCATGAACTGTTCTCTGTTACTCTGTCATGACTGCCTTTGAGGTCTCTGTCCCGTTTCTGAATTTTGTTTCTTTTAGGTCTGACCAATACCTGGCCAGTCGCTGCTCTAAGAAATGGTACCGTTCCTCTCTGAGGCTTCCTCCAAAGAGCTCTCCAACTCCAGGAACCAGAAGATCAACAGCTGCAACCTAAAAAGGAACAAAAAATACACATTACATTTTCAGGGGATTCAACCACTGTCAGATTCTCAAGCATGTGAAACTTTTCACATTTTGACAACTGGCTGATTAACTGCTTACCAGAATCTTACTTCTGTTTTGTTCATGTTCCATTTTAATATCAAATGTTTAATATTATCTTTAGAATACATGCTACATGAATTGCAGGTGGACAGTTTCCTTCAAATGTGTTTTCTTCACAAAATGTGATATAAATGTTAATTATAAAAAATGTAAAAAATATTAAAAATCATGGCCCTGGGCAAAATGAAAGGTGGCTTGTTCCATATTCTGTCAGGGCACAGGCCTGGGTTGCTGGCCTGATCCCCACTTGGGGCATGTGTGAGAAGCAGCCGATCGATGTTTCTCTTTCACATCAATGTTTCTCTCCCTTTCTTTTTTCCTCCCTTCCCCTCTGTAAAAAATAAGTACATAAAATCTTAAAAAAAGGAAATATTAAAAATTAATTACCATCATGCAGAGGCAATTATATTTTGGCTTCAGGTTCTTTTCCTTATATATTTAAAGAGTATCATAGAGATAAACTTACACATAAAAGTTTACCATTCTAATGTCTTACCAATATAGAATGAATATTTTTTCTATTTAGTTAAAGTACTTTGCACACTTAATGTTTTAACAGCTGAACAGTTTACTGTTGAGGAGTATCATAGTTTTTATTTAACTGCTTTCCTTTTGTTGACCATTTAAGGGTATATGTGTGTTTGTTTTCTCTTATAAATAATGTAACAATGAAGATATTTCTTTAATTTGTAGTATTTGTAGAGACATGTCAAGTTTGTTCTGATTATCATCAAAGAAGTAATATCAAAACAATAAGACACCATTTTGGAGTTATCAAAGTGGTGAAGATAAAAGACAACACAAACAACACGGGCGAGAGAATGCACACATCAGTACTCTCAGACATTTGATATAAACTTTCTGGTCAGCAACTTGGTAAAAAATAATCAAAAGCCTTAAAAATGCAATATGCTTTGACTCAGCAATAGCAGTTCTAGGAACTAGTCCTAACAAAATAATCAGAGATACAAAAATAGGGTTATCATACAAGATGTTTATTGCAGCATTACTTATAACAAGAAATTCAAATGTACATCAATAGGAAACTCAGATAAATTTTAGACATGAATAGGAAAAGCAATGACAGCCATATCATGAGATGTTAATTGCCACAGTGACATCTTTTCACTTATTTGTATTTCCTTATTTTCTATAATAAAGACACTATTACACTTTTGTAATAAAAACAATAAACTTTTAATAGGAAAAATGGTAGCTTGATAATTTACTTTGTATTTCTTTCTTTTTTTTTAAAATCAACAAAATATTTTTTTTTATTAATCATTGTTCATATACAGTTTTCTCCTTTTTACTCCCAATCCACTCCCCCCTCTCACCCTCCCCACTTCCCTCCCATTACCACCCTCCCCTTAGTCTATGACCATGTGTCCTTTAAGTTTGTTCCTGTGAACCCTTCCCACTGTCCCCTTAAATTCCCTCTTCTCTCCCCTCCGGTCACCATCAGCCTGGCCTCTATTTCAGTGTCTTTGGTTACATTTTGCTTGTTTCTTTGTTTTGTTATTTAGGTTCCTGTTAAAGGTGAGATCATATGGTATTTGTCTTTCACTGCCTGGCTTGTTTTGCTTAGCATAATGTTTTCCAGCTCCATCCACGCTGTTGCAAAGGGTAGGAGCTCCTTCTTTCTTTCTGCTGCATAGAATTCCATCGTGTAAATGTACCATAGTTTTTTGATCCATTCATTTACTGATGGGCATCTTGGTTGCTTCCAGCATCTAGCTATTGTAAATTGTGCTGCTATGAACATTGGGATGCATAGGTTCTTTTGAATTGGTGTTTTAGTATTCTTAGGATAGAGTCCCAGCAGTGGAATTGCAGAGTCAAAAGGCAGATCCATTTTTAGTTTTCTGAGGAAGTTCCATACTGCTTTCCATAGTGGTTGTACCAGTCTGCAGTCCCACCAACAGTGCACTAGGGTCCCCCTTTTCTCCACAACCTCTCCAACACTTGTTGTTTGTTGCTTTGTTTATGATGGCCATTCTGTCTGGTGTGAAGTGGTATCTCATTGTGGTTTTAATTTGCATCTCTCTGATAGCTAGCGATATTGAACATCGTTTCATGTGTCTTTGGATATTCTGTATGTCCTCCTTGGAGAAGTGTCTGTTTAAGTCCTTTGCCCACTTTTTAATTGGATTCCTTGTCTTCTTAGAGTACAGTCGTGTAAGTTCTTTATATATATTGGAGATTAGACCCTTGTCTGAGGTGTCATTGGCAAATGTGTTTTCCCATACAGTTGGTTCTCTTTTAATTTTCATACTGTTTTCTTTAGCTGTGCAGAAGCTTTTAATTTTGATGAGGTCCCATTTGTTTATTCTTTCCTTTATGTCCCTTGCTCTAGGGAACACGTCATTAAAAAAGTCTCTTCGTGAAATATCTGAGATTTTCCTACCTACGTTCTCCTCTAGGACTTTAATGGTGTCATGTTTTATATTTAAGTCTTTTATCCACCTTGAATTTATTTTTGTATATGGTGTAAGTTGGTGCTCAAGTTTCATTTTTTTGCACGTGGCTGTCCAGTTCTCCCAACACCATTGGTTGAAGAGGCTATTTTTATTCCATTTTATGTTGCTGCCTCCTTTGTCAAATATTAACTGACCATAGAGACTTGGGCTTATTTCTGGGCTCTCTGTTCTGTTCCATTGGTCTATGTGCCTGTTTTTACGCCAGTACCAGGCTGTTTTGATTACAGTGGCCTTGTAATATAGTTTAGTGTCGGGTATTGTGATCCCTCCTACTTTACTCTTCTTTCTCAATATTGCAGCAGCTATTCGGGGTCGTTTATAATTCCATATAAATTTTTGAAGTGTTTGTTCTATGCCTGTGAAATACACCATTGGTACTTTTAATAGGTATTGCATTGAATGTGTAAATTGCTTTGGGTAGTATGGACATTTTGATGATATTAATTCTTCCAATCCATGAACACGGTATATGTTTCCATTTGTTTGTGTCTTCCTTGATTTCTTTCTTCAGTGTTGTGTAGTTTTCTGAATACAGGTCTTTTACCTCTTTGGTTAGGTTGATTCCTAGGTATTTTATTTTTTCTTTTTTGCTATTTCAAATGGGATTTTTTTCCTTGATCTCTGCTTCTGCTGTTTCATTGTTGGTGTACAGAAATGCCTTTGATTTCTGGATATTGACTTTGTATCCCGCTGTTTTGCCAAATTCATTTATTAGGTCAAGCAGTTTTTTGGTAGAGTCAATAGGATTTTCTATGTATACTATCATGTCATCTGCAAACAGTGATAGTTTTGTTTCCTCCTTTCCGATTTGGATGCCTTTTATTTCTTTTTCTTGTCTGATTGCTGTGGCTAAAACTTCCAGTACTATATTGAATAGAAGTGGTGAAAGTGGACAGCCTTGTCTTGTTTCTGATCTTAATGGAAAAGGTTTTAATTTTTGCCCATTGAGAATGATGTTGGCTGTAGGTCTCTCATATATGGCCTTTATTATGTTGAGGAATGCTCCCTCTATTCCCACTTTGCCGAGTGTTTTTATCATGAATGGGTGCTGTACCTTATCAAATGCTTTTTCTGCATCAATTGATATGATCATGTGGCTTTTGTCTTTGCTTTTGTTTATGTGATGTATTACATTTTCTGACTTGCGAATATTGAACCATCCTTGCATCCCTGGAATGAATCCCACTTGGTCATGGTGTATAATCTTTTTAATGTATTGTTGGATGTGGTTTGCCAGTATTTTGTTGAGGATTTTAGCGTCAATGTTCATCAGTGATATTGGCCTGAAGTTTTCTTTCTTTGTTGTGTCTTTATTTGGTTTTGTAATTAGGATGATGTTGGCCTCATAAAAAGAGTTTGGGAGATTCCCATCATTTTGGATTTTTTGGAATAGTCTGTGAAGGATAGGGGTTAGCTCTTCCTTAAATGCTTTGTAGAATTCTCCTGTGAAACCATCTGGTCCTGGGCTTTTGTGTGTTGGGAGATTTTTGATTACTGCTTCAATTTCTTTTGTTGTTATTGGTCTGTTCAGACTTTCTGCTTCTTTTTCATTGAGTTTTGGAAGATTATATTTTTCTAGAAATTTGTCCATTTCACCTAGGTTTTCAAATTTCTAGGCATACAGTTCTTCATAGTAATTTCTTACAATCCTTTGTATTTCTGTGGTATCTGTTGTAATCTCTCCTCTTTCATTTCTGATTGTGTTTATTTGGGTCTTCTCTCTTTTTTTCTTGATGAGTCTGCTTAAAGGCTTGTCTATTTTGTTTATCTTTTCAAAGAACCAGCTCTTGGATTCATTGATCCTTAGAATTGTGCTTTTAGTCTCTATGTCATGTAATTCTGCTCTGATCTTGGTTATTTCCTTCCTTCTGCTTGCTCTGGGCTGCCTTTGTTGTTGTTCCTCGAGTTCTTGTAGACGTAGGGTTAGGTTATTTGTTTGGAATGTTTCTAACCTTTTCAGGTGGGCCTGTATCGCTATGAACTTCCCTCTCAGGACTGCCTTGGCTGTGTCCCATAAATTTTGGGTTGTAGTGAGTTCGTTTTCATTTGTTTCCAGAAACCTTTTGATTTCTTCCCTAATATCATTCTTGACCCATTCATTGTTTAATAGCATGCTATTTAATCTCCATGATTTTGAGTGTTTTTGTTTTTTTTTCCTTCGGGTTGGTTTCTAGCTTCAGTCCCTTGTGGTCTGAGAAAATGCTTGGTATGATTTCAATTTTCTTGAAATTCTTGAGGCTTGTTTTGTGTCCTATCATGTGGTCTATCTTTGAGAATGTTCCATGTACATTTGAAAAGAATGTGTATTTAGCTTCTTTTGGATGGAGGGCTCAGTATATATCAGTAAAGTCCATTTCATCAAGGGTATTGTTCAATGCCACAATATCTTTGTTGATATTTTGTTTA